GATGAAAACACATATAGAAATATCAAGCCGATCGGGTCACAAATCCCAAAACTATACGGGCGTGTTAAAATGCACAAACCAGGAGCGCCATTAAGACACATACTCTCGATGATAAACTCACCATACCACAAATTAGCACAGTCATTATGTGAACTGTTGCAGCCCCTGCGGAAATGCTTCGGGAAGTATATAGTTTCTGATTCATTCCAGTTTGTCGAGCAAATCAAAGATTTCAACGTATCTGATAAACATTTAGTCTCTTTCGATGTTACCTCCCTCTTCACAAATGTGCCAGTCATTGAGACTATAGACTTCATATGTAGAGAAGCTGAAGACATACCCATTCCAACGTCGGAATTGAGGAAATTGCTACTTTTATGTACTGAAAATGTCCAATTCCAATTCGACGGGCGTTTATTCCGTCAAGTTGATGGTGTCGCAATTGGAAGCCCCTTGGGACCACTTTTCGCTGACTTATTCTTGTCACGCCTAGAAACCGGTACCCTGCAACAACATATACAAGAAACGGGTCTATACCTAAGATATGTTGATGACATTTTTATTGCCTGTGGAAGCAGATAAAAAGCCGAAGACATGCTGATAAAATTCAACTCATGCCATCCACATCTCAATTTCACAGTAGAACACGAGGAAAATGATACTATCAAATTCCTAGACGTTTTTCTGGCGAAAATGAATGATGGCACGATCGAAAGATCTATATTTAGAAAGTCCTCATGGACAGGACAGTACATGCATTTCAAGGGTTTTGTTCCAATCCAGTACAAAAAGAACTTAGTCAGAACACTGTTCAATAGAGCACGAAAAATTTGTTCTGACAGTACTGTTGAGTATGAAATAAAATCCCTGAAGGATATCTTATCTAAGAATGGATATCCTGAGAATTTCATTAATAAATACTCTAAAGAAAACACCCGCTGCAAAACAATCCAAACAGTTCCGAAGAAACCTGTCTATATCAGTTTGCCGTTCAAAGGAGAAAATGTACAGGAAGTAGTCAAATGAAGACTCGACAAAGCCATCAAGAGAACTTATTATGCTGCAAAACTTGTTTTCCTTAACACCACTAAGCGAGTGCTTCAACAATCTGGGAAAGACCAGTCGCCAATCCTCGACACTTCAAACTGCGTATATCAATTTGAGTGTGTTTGTGGAAGCAAATACATAGGTCGTACGGAAAGGAGATTGTCTACTCGCATGATGGAGCATTTGCCAAAATGGTTGAAAACAGCTGAGTTCAATAATAATAATAATAAATAATAATAATGGCTTTATTCCAAACAGTATTTGTGGTACAGGTATGGAATTTTCAGCGTTCATTACAATATTGCATCTAATTACCTCATAAATTTTATAAGGATTTAGAAATATAAAGCAACAACAACAAAAAAAAGAGAAATAAAAGAAATAAAATAAAAAAAGAACAGCATTGCATTCACATATTTAATCAGTGCACCACAGGATACGATATATAAAATTAGTCTGTAATAGAATATATGAGCAACAATATAATAGTAACAAAGAAAGGAGAACAAAAGCTAATGGGAACTATTTGTTAGAGTGCCGCAGTAAATTGATCATGTCATGCCTAACAGTTTTCTCATCACATAACAGCTGTGCCAGATAAGGTATTGTGGAGTTTTTATACTTGGTAGTCCTGGCATATAGCTTCCTATAGTTACTTCTAGTTCTACCAGATGAAATGCAAGGAGAGAGCTGCGTATAGAGAGGATGCTCAGGGTCTGACAATATAGTATTCGCTAGTTTCTTACATGACATTATATGTCTATCCACTATGGTGTTAACCAAAGTGCCAAAATCCTCAATAACAAAGCATCTTGTGGATTACGGGCATGATATCGACGCGGTCAAGTCATTCACTATTGTCAGCGGACAAAGAAACAAGGAGATGCTTGCAATTGCAGAGGAGGCTGGTGCAATTCGAGTTTACAAACCAGGTCTCTGTGTACAAAAGGAGATGGTCGTGACTCTGAATCTACCATGGTAATACGCTTTACTTATAATTCTACCTCTTATTATTATTATTTTTATTATTACTATTATTGTTCTCATTATTATTATTCTTGATTCATTTAAAACTATCCTTTACCAGTAGCATTATCTTAACTCACTTCAACACTATTATTATTATTGTTATTATAACTATTACTATTGACATCCCTCTGGTTGCAATTCTCGTTAAATTCTCTAATATCTAATTGTTTATCTAAGTGATGTAATTGAAGCGTAATGCAATTTATCTTAATTTTGATCTCCCGTACTCTCTCTCCCCTTATGTAATTGAACATGACCTGGAAAAACATTCGCACCTGTCTGTCTGCATGACTAATTCAATGTAGTTTATTTACTTATCAGTCCTATATCTCCCAATGTAATTCCAAAAGTATATATCCGTGTATGTAGAGTATTCAGCTAACGAGTTCTACCGAAATTTGATGAATTCATTAAATCCTGCTTTATTAACCTTTATTGCTTGTTTTAAATTCGTATCGGGAAATAAATGTTTCCGAAACTATTTGTACTACTGATAAATCTTATCAGTAGTATATATAGATATAAAGAGAAATTCTTTGGCATATAAAACGTCAAATTGCAGGAAGATGGATAGATTTGATGTCAGAGAAAGCAAATGATACAGCGTCGTGGAGATACATGAGAGACGTGATAGGAACACCAAGAAACACACACACAATATGAAGGAAGGCGAGAAGAGGCAGGCACAAAACGGAAGATCTGTGCAAATAGTGCGTTGGAGATAAGGTGTACATAATTTGGCTGTACAGAGATACCTAACTGTAAATGGATTATAGCATTAAATGAAGTATATTCTGATATAATAAATAATAAATGGGAGAAGTGAAATATTACGAGGAACTGTGCAAAGTGAGAACAAAAGCAACAATAATAGTATCAATCAGAATAATAGAGGAAATATGCACAGAATATACGAACAAAATGAAAAATAAATAAGTGTTTATCCCGCCTTTTCTTTTATACTCTCAAGGCAGAAATAGGGACTGTATAAATTTCTTTTATAAAAAAAGGACCCGGTTCAAATTCATGAACAGTCAAGCCACAGCTGTCTTTAGGAGTTTGCAACGAAGAAAACCCAGCATGAATTCGATTGATGATCTTAAAATCATCGTCGATGTTGGCACAGTTTCAGAAGACGATCAAGTGTTCTACAACAGAGCAACTGAGAATCATTTTTTCTTCCTTGAATAATCACGTTGGAATGTGCCCCCATATGTGTGTTTGGAAAGCATTTTTTGTCTACGAGAGATGTACCTTGTTGCACAAGAGCAGAGGAGAAAGGACACACGAAGAACAATTTCCGACTGGTGTACAATCAGTTGGAGTTTCGTTACAAACAACACCTTAAAAACTGAATTAGGGCGACGATTTCTAAACCTGAAGTCTGATCACCCTTTAATTCTAGTTTCATGAGGATTGTTTTCTATGGATGTGCGTTAGTGAACAACTTACATTGCTTATCTTTGGTGTTTTTATCGACTGGCTTTATTGCACTTCCCCGCTGATCTTAGCGTCGTCGTCCGTTGCTATGGTGGTTTAATGACAAGTTATATTTTTGGAGGCTTTTTAAATGACATTTTGAATTAAAAAATCTTTTCTGGGGCACATATTGTTGGTGGCATTATATTTGCTGCACTTTTATCGGGAAATCTTGCTTCATACTGATACCTGCTCAATGTAATAGATCAAAGGAGGCAGTAAGTTCAAAAGTTAAACGTATATTATTGAATTTTCCTGGTATATTTTGGCTGATTTATTGAAACGCCTAATGACACACTGGATAAACCAGGTGGCGCCGATTCAAAAAAGAAATATGGCGTATAATCGCTGGTTTTTATCAATACATCAGTGCAGGTATTTATTTATTATTTCTTTGGGTTCCGAGTGAAACATAGAACTTCAACAACACCTCTCCACTTAGTTCTATTTTCTGCTGTCCTCTTCAGCTGGCTAGCTCTCATCTCCTCCTCGTCACACGATCTCCTCCATGTCACCCTCTCACCAAGGACCCACTTATCGCTTCCCATTCGGATTCCACTCTAGTGATGGCCTGTATTTCTCACGATGTCATTCGACGGCCTCCTTAACATGTGCCCAGCCCGATCCATCTCAATTTTCTCCTACATATTTGTTGAGTAATCGGCTTTCACCTGTTGGTTTGTTCCACTGCATGATTGCTTGATGCTATGGCCATTTGATCTTCAATATGAAGCCAGCCGACGAAGATGGTAGGTGTTGATAAAAGTCTGCAATGGCTTGTTGGAAATCTTATTCGTGACACGCCCGCCAAGTTTCTGATCCGTATATAAGAAGTGACTGACTGACTGGCTTCATATTTGTGTTGAAAATCCTAATCTCGTTCTTTATAGTGACTGAGTGAAGGAGAAGATTTCCAAACTGGTTTCAGATTGATGAAGACGTATCTTGCCTTTCCGATTCTCACTGGCCAGCTTTGACATCTTCATCCGTTCCCGCTGTCTGTAATTGAAACCATGCTTCCTAGATAACCACCGTTTCCAACAAATATGGCTTTTAAGAAAGAAAGTTCTCTATCAACGTGTCAACCTGTTTTATCGCTTATTAGTCAGTTATGTTTATAATCACGAAAACCTCATTTCATTTCACACACTTTTTGATAAGAATTTATGTGAGTCACAATGACTGTCATTTCTTTTCCACTAAAAGTTCATTTATGTAACTGACTACGTATTAGTACTTCTCCTATTCATCTGACTTACAATCATATGTCAGTCAATAAAATGACTCATTGTATGTATATTTTAAGAAAATTAGAAGAAAACAAAAGTTTGTCCTCTATAGTTCTCCCCTTTAATACATCAATATCAAATGATCAAGTAATAAAACAAAACAAAAGAAAGAATATTATAAAAGCAATAGAATCATTCCATTTTTCGAGAATTCAAATATAAATACTCTTCCCTCTCTCACTCAATTGTATTCTATTGGTCAATTAAAACAAAAATATTGAAACTATTGAACGCAGTTTAAAAACGATTACTCATTCACTCTGATCAAAACAAAACATACTTCTCTTTCTATCTCAAAAAGATAAACAACAAGAAATGGTCACTTCTAATGACAACACACAAAATCATCAGGTACAAAATGATTATTTGAACAAAATTCATTCTCATCGTGATGCAAAAGAATTAGAATTATTAGAACGTAAATTTATTTTAGATTGTATTGCTGTCCGACAAATTTGTGATGATTATTCTAAAGCTAATCCAAAACATGGTTCAGTGATTCCAGTTTATAATGGACAGCTAGATAAATATGCTAAATCATATTTTGAATCATTAAATATTCAAAAATTATTACATAAAACTGGTCAGGTAAGTTGTAGCAACAAAAAATAAAGGAGACGTTTTTGTTTTGTTTTTAAAGTGTCTTCATCATTCTTGCTTTTTCCGGCAAATGTAGTGGTTCAGGAGTCCATGTAGATGGTACCGGTTCGATTTCCGGTTGATGTACTCCTAAACTTCGTCTAGTTTACCAGCTAGTAGGAATTAAGTTCAGAAAAGAAGGAATCGTGGGCGGGAGACTAGTCACTTTACCCTGTGTGAGGATGAAATCACAGCCAGTGGAACTTTAAAAGACTTGAAGCCCTATGTTTCCCTAGGAACACGAGGAATGAGACAGCCAAGTTATTGTTTAGTATATAGAATGATTCGTTAGGTAGATAAATAATGAAATAGTGGTATATGTTTAGTTATGTAATTTTTTTTGTATTCGTGATAAAGATCCATACCGCGGTGACAGTGAAGGTATAATCCTGCATGGTTGGGTTTTCATCAACAACGGATTAACTGGCATGTGTGTTCTGCTTGATTGTGACTAGGAGTGGGATCCGCGTCATGTGCTTTTTAGTCCTATTTAGGAGTCATCAGCTAGTGGGTGTACCTGAAATCACCAGTGAGTGACAACGGTGTTCCCAAAGAGACTGGAATGCTGCACCCATCGTTCCACACGCCAAAACAGTATCCACTAGGCAATTAAGGCCAAAACAGAGACAGGTTTTCGTTACTATTTGTCTCCTAGGTCCATTTGCATTTTCCACTGATAGTTGATTATGTTGGAATCATGAAGAATACCCATCAGGACATTAGAGAGAAAACAGCAAGAAACTCAGAGAAGATAACCATCTTTTAGGACGATTTCATTCTCAACCGCATATATATATACGTTTACATACGTACAATTATTACTGAATTCAACATTGTAACCAACTTGATATGAAAGTCTGAAGGCATGAATATAGATCTAAAGAGGGGCATAAGATTAGAAAATGATTGCGTAATATGTGAAATAGTGAACAAGATGACCATAGAAACAAATTGAAATAACAGTTTTTCTAACTGAAGATACACAAATGAAGGGAATAAAAACATAAACAAACGAAAACTATGGAGACGAACAGAACTAGATCCACATTAAATGTATAGGTTGGACTGGTATCGTTTCAACACATACCTCAATCTTCTCGATGCAAACGACAAGGGTTTCACCAGTACAAAAAGTCAGAAGTACAATGTCTTTGGTAGTTTTTTGTTGTAGTGGAACAAAATACTCGGTGTCACGTTAATCTTCAGACATTGTTGTAGCGTTCATAAAAGGCGCCGAAATTTCAACAGAGATTGAGCATTTCGGTCAAACAAATCATTCAGCAGGAGTGAGAAAAAGAGAGCTTATGTTCGTTCATAGAAGTGTGGTGGTGTGATACAGACAATGTGTGCCAATGGAATGTTATTCTCACATGTTCCCACAGTTCAATTTGGCATTAGTAACAGAATACGAGATATCTATTTGAACAATCTATTTGATTTTAGAGACAGAAAACTTTCCCTCCACATTTATATGCTGCATTAACAGCAGAATACTACGTGTATTTTATCATTCTATTTCTTGTCCTTTGATGTAAGCCAAAATCACACGCTCAGTGACTGGTTAACGAATATAAACTGTAGATATATAAACACAGGTCTCATTAATACCTTGGCCCGCGTGTCTTGCCTTCTGTTGTTACAAAAGCAACCTCTTAGAGTCTGGAAAGCTTAAAAATATTTATCCACAGACTTGTACATCCCATAAGATTAACTTTTGTAATATCGAGGAAAACTGTTTGGACAAAAGGATAAGAAGACGTAATTTGTCTGAATCGTGTAATGTGTATTCGCGCAACACATTTCGAATAATCGGATCAGTTTGTGACGAAACAGAACTTTGAATCAATCAGATCAGCATAAAGCGACACTTGAAAAGTATTATATTATCATTGTTCCCTTGGGTTCCGAGTGGAATTGTAGGTCTTTAACAACACATTTCCACTTTTTCCTATTTTCTGGCATCCTCTTCAGTTGGCCCCATGACTGTCCATAATCCGTCATCTCCTCCTCACCACACGATCTCCTCCATATCACCTTCGCACCGACCACCCACTAGTCGCTTCCCATTGGGATTTCACTGTGCGCGATGGCATTTGACGGCCTGCTGAATGTATGCCCAATCAACCTTTCTCCATTTTCTCCCACATATTTGTTGAACAATAGGCTCTTGGAACAATTTTATTTATTTCGACTCTCCCCAAGCTAAGTCATACTGGATACTCCACTGATGACCTCAGACATAAATGAGCGAAACGGACGTTTCGGTGCTCAGATCACCTCGATCTGGCTGGCTAGCAAGCACTACTGGTTGATATGCGTGGTATACAACTACTCACTTCGGTCAGTCAGTAGTACAAAGTAAAAAATGCGCATTTCTGCTTGCTTTCTTGGTTGGTTAGTATTTAGAGTATCAAGCAGACAAGATCACACACTTTGTGATTTGAATAATTTTTGTCTCCAGAGGTAATTGTGGTGAAATTTCACCTTCTCGAACTGTGCGAATTGCAAATTTGATATAATTTTGTTTTGCAGAAACAATCGGAAGTTAAATATCATTTCGAGTTCGCAGTTTCAGTAGATTTCCGATAGATAATGTGTCTCATAATGTCTTCATATGCTGATTTCTATTCGAATGACTAGTTCATATAATTAAAACTATCACGAATAGTTTAGTTAAATATCTTGAGGATTTTGATTACTAAACGAATGATTTGAAACTTACAATCGCAGGATATATATATATATTCAAAATAAATAGAACTACTGTGGTGGCGTGTGCTACTGACAAGATACATAATATGGATATATAGAGATACCAGACTGCAAATGAAGGTTCGTTCACTAAATCTTTCGTCTTCTACCATTACACTGTGAACTTAAGACGCCTTAAATTCAATCAGGTGATCGTTAAAAATAAAAGAAGACTGAAATGGCCTCGTAAATCCTTTCAAATTAGATCACGAACTGATTTCACTTAGAGTGAGTAACACTGGAAGTCAGGAATTGCTGTTTCATTCAAGTTGGGGACTGTTCAGAAGTACGCAATTATCATTCCACTGATAATATGGCCCACAACCTTTAGGTTACAAGGCCAACGCGTTGACAATTCAAATATGTACGTGGCTGGAATTCGACTCCTAGCTGATGAACTCATAAACCTCGTTCAGTTAACTGGTCGATAGTAGTAGAGGTTTGGACGTTAGGGAACCAATAAAAACCAGAAGGTTCTCAACAGTTATATCGCCCTGATTTGGGACTCTTCATCAGTCAGCACTCATGACATTTAGCTAGCCCACACTGACTATTTAGTGACCAGTTTTGAATCCAATGACTCACCCTTAAATCTACTTTGAAACCAATATTTATATACTTTAACTAATGAGTTTTAGAATATGGCAAACACTATTGTTACGTAATTAAATTCTACTAGGGTATGTATGTGGTTCTTATCTTCGAATGCTCGTTTACGGCTGATATGTTCCAGAATCGATTCACTGATGACATATTCCTAAACCCGTCCTTGTCTACTGGTCGACAGTAAGCCCTGAAAAGTGGCAAGATTCAACGGAAGGCTAGTAACGTCAACACGTAAAAGTAACATCAGGGTTTGGAGCCTGATGTTCCACTTAGAACGCATAAAGAAAAGATTAAAAGGTGCTGTAAAACTAGTTAGTATATACATATATATGTATATTTATAAATACAGAAGTATCCTAGAATTAAGAACTGCAACTGCAAAGTGAATAGAGGTGTAAAAGTGACGGTATTTATCAATTACATTTTTTTTTCCTTCACGTTCCCCAGTGGAACATAGGGCTTCAAGCTAGTGGCTTGAAGTTTCTGTAGCAGTGTTTATTTTACAGGATGCAGTTGCTAGCCTCATGCCCAACCTTTCCTCTTCACCAGCATTATTTCTGGCTTAGCGAGGTAAAGGAGTGCGTCGTCCGGGAATCGAACCCCGGACCATGTGCATGGTCGGTGAGCGTCCTAACCGCAATGCCACCGACGCACTATCAATTACATAATGAATGAATATTTTACTCAAACATTGTCTGTGGTTGATAGGATCCATTGAAATAAATTAATAATATCATATCATTCTGTTCAGTTTTCTTGCTATTCCTTTTGTCACAATAATATCATTTGAAATGGAGGAATGACAGAGTGAATTTTGTTTTCTTTAGAATCCTCAGATGTTGGTTTACACGGATATGATTACAGGCTAACATCAATTAAAGTACCGTTCACTGTCGGTAGCGCTGTATATATATATATATATATATGGTGAATTGGTTGAATTTAGAATGCATGGGCCACTAGACCAGGTCAACGTGACTAGATAGTTTACGAGCTTGCCATGTAGGTGGAAGCCTCCGGGCTTTAACCCCGGGAGGTTGCCTATTGCTGAAGAGTTCCAGGCTAAGACGAAACAGTTATCCAGTACTCTGTGGTTTATTTAGAGTTCACTTTTCAGAAGTACTTGCATTCCTTTACAGGACTTGAACTATACCGTCCAGTGATTGAAATTTATTTGTGTTATAACAATCAGATGTTGTTGAGTGCTGAATTCTTCTTAAACATGAAACTCTGTGCTTTAATTTTTTGGATTCTTTTAGCTGTTAGACTCATGTACGTTCAGTCCTACAAACGAACAATGAGAAATTTTATGTAACACAATTAGGATTAAATTTGGATTGAAAACCTGTGTCATGATAGAAATTTAGATAACGGCTCCTTTCTGACTCAAAATTATACACACTTAATAATAAAACTTAAACTACCCACTCCTATTAATATATCTTAAGTTGAACCGAAGTATCGACAACTGTGGTCACTTGTCTTATTCGTCGCCAGCATACTAGTGTAACAACAGAAGACAAGGGCCAGGCAATAGATCATCTATATGTTAACTGTATCCTCCTACGCAAAGTCTGCTGTGGTCGGTTTTGAATCAATCTTTGTTCATATTTTCTCACGACAAATCTTGAGAACGTAAACATTGACGTAAATTACTGTCTACCAATTTGGCTAGTAGACAGCTCTCACCACACTAGTAGTGATAGCCATCTAAACTTTAGTTACGTGGAGGAAAGAAGCAATTGATTACAGATAAGCGTCGACAACTTACACTTCCATCCTAATTGGAGATGAACCACAAGTATTCCATTGAGGTTTTTGATACTGTACAGCCTCCCAAACCTCGATGAATGAAGCGGGTTTCAAGCAGATGATCCATTGGGTTAGAATCCCAGCGTCCAAACCAATAGGACACAGCTTCATACACAAATATGTCCTAATATAATAAATAAATGGTTTGTATAACCCGAAGGTTCCTTTGGTTCATGGTATCACTAACTAGTTTGTCCTTTTTATATTTTTTTAAGTTAAAACAAGTGATGCAGTGAAGAGAATTTTTTTTAGCAAATTTATTATGAAGCTGTACAATGACATATATAGTATGTATATAGTATGAAACACCCTTATGGAATACTCGTAGTTCATCTCCAATTAGGATGGATGTGTAAGTTGTCGACGCTTATCTGTAATCAATTGCTTCTTTCCTCCACGTAACTAAAGTTCAGATGGCTATCACTACTAGTATGCTGGCAAAGAATAAGCTAAGTGACCACAGTTGTCGATACTTCAGTTGAACTTAAGATTTAGTAACAAGAGTGGGTAGTTTAAGTTTTATTATTAAGTGTGTATAATTTTGAGTCAGAAAGGAGTCGTTATCTAAATTTCTATCATGACACAGGTTTTCAATCCAAATTTAATCCTAATTGTGTTACATAAAGTTTCTCATTGTTGGTTTGTAGAACTGAATGGACTAGAGTCTAACAGCTAAAAGAATCCGAAAGATTGAAGCGCAGAGTTTCATGTTGTAAGAAGAATTGAGCACCCCAATATATATATATATGTGCGTCGGTGGTATAGCGGTTAGGACGCTCGCCAACCATGCACGTGGTCCGGGGTTCGATTCCCGGACGACGCACTCCTTTACCTCGCTGAGCCAGAAATAATGCTGGTGAAGAGGAAAGGTTGGGCATGAGGCTAGCAACTGCATCCTGTAAAATAAACACTGCTACAGAAACTTCAAGCCACTAGCTTGAAGCCCTATGTTCCACTGGGGAACGTGAAGGAAAAATATATATATATATATATATGACGAAAGAATATTGCCAAAACTAATGCTCATAATGAAGTGATGTCATTTAAAGACCCATTCGGAAATCATCGAGGAAGTAGACGACAACTTCTTCATCCCAGTTTGGAACTCTTCATCAGTACCCACCCATCCACCATAGTTCGAACCCAGGACCTCCCGGTTATAAGGTAAGCTCCTAAGCCATTCAGCCCATAGGATCTCCATCCAAGGGCCAATGTATTTGAAATTCTACTATTTAGTGATTTTAGCGTGACCACTAGTCAATCTCATCAGCTAATGTTTGTCTCTGGTTTTCAATGCTTCTCTAACTGATATCGATCCCTAATCAACCTACAAACAAACAAATCAGCTCCCTATATACTAACTCTTGAAAATATATTTAGTTAAATAAACAAAGGTGATAGGCGGGATCATAATTATAATAACAACAATAATCCAAATAATAATAATAATAATTTGCTTTATTCCAAAACAGTACATGTGATACAGAATGGAATTCTCAGCATTTTTACTACAGTATTGCATCCAGTTAGTACATTATCAATAAATAGAATTCTACATAGATTAAGGAAATCACAGTTCATTATGACAACAACACATTGGCATGTCGGTAGCAAAGGAAAAGCTGAAACAGTGTTTGAAGGTGTTAGAAAAGTGGGAGCTGTCTTATTAACTGGCGTAAGCGAGAGAAAGAAACAAAGCAGCACATAACGGAAAAAGAAGAGAGAGAAAAGGAAAAGAAAGAAAGAAAATGTTGTACCTATTGATGATGTGAGTTGGAAAGACGAGATCCAGTTGTTCTACTGACTATTTAATGAATTATAGGTGTCACGCCTAATGCTTTCTTTATCGCACAGAACACGAGCTAAGTAGGGTATGGTTGAGTTTTTGTACTTCCTAGTGCGAGCATATAGTTTTCTATATAGGCTTCTGGTTTTGCCTGATGAGATGCAAGGGGAGAGTTGTGAGTGAAGAGGGTGGTGTGAGTTAGGTAAAATGGATTCGGCCCATTTTTCACATGAGTCCATGTGCCTGTCGACCAGAATATTAACAAGCTGGTTAAGTGGCACGTTGCTTACCCTGCTGACAACCTTTAACATCCTGCGTAATATGTTATAGTCTTTCTTCAGTAGCCCGGGAAAAACTAAGGGGGAACAATAGAGAATAATAGGCAGAATGCGAGAATTAACGAATTGTAGGAGTAAGGGTTGGGTTATACCAGAATGTTTTAACTTCTTGATGTAGAAGGTGAGACGGAATATTTTCTTAGAAATCGCTAAGATGTGAGACGACCAGGAGAGATCAGCGGATAGAATGACGCCTAGGTATTTAATTTCCGACTTGGTTTCTATTTCAGTGCCGTCTTTGTTGCATACCTCGTAAGAGCCAACCAGTTTGTTTAGTTCGGATTTATGCCTAAAGGTGAAATTGACTGTTTGGCATTTAAGGGATGTATATACAGACTGAATTTGCGTCAGTGGTTCATCGGTAGAACGCTAGCTAATTACGCATATGGTCTGAGGTTCGATACTCTGTCGACGAACTTCTAAACCTCGCTGGCTAAGCCGGTAGCAAGGTCATTAAACAGGGAAGGTTGGACGTGAGGCTAGCAACCCCACGTCGTAGAAATAAAAAAACCACTGCTATCGAAACTTTACATCTCTAGCTTGAAGACCCCAATGTTCCACTCAGGACGTAAAGGAATAAAATAACACAGACAAACCAAAAAGTAAACAGGACCAGGGTATAAATAGAGATTAAAGTAATCGAGCATAGACAGATTATGACTTTGACAGAAGACCTGGTTGAATAAACCTTTTTTCTGTAATATAAAGCTCTGCTTTTTGTTTTAAAAACTATATACTACTGAATGATCAAGATGAGTAGTTGGATACCACGCAAACGAACCAGTAGTATCTTGATTAGCGAGATTATTGAAGTGATCTAAACAGCGGAAGGACTTGATGTAAGAAAAGAGCTTGTACACTGTCGTAGAGTATAATTCCATTGTCGGTAAAGTTTATTTTGGTAAAGTCTCACAGTGTTATACAGTAGTATTTACTGATGATCACGTTTCGAGCACAATTTATTGCCACTCATAATCATATCAAGATTATGACTTTTCACTATTTTGGGGCCGACTTCATCAGTGGTGTACGCAGTTTGACTCAGCTTGAGGAGAGCCAAATCACTTCACACCATCGGATTTGCGACTAGTCTACTTAGGCGAACTGGTGATACCATAAATCAAACTCGCAGTCGGCAAAGTACACAACTCAAGTGCTGAAATTGCAGTAGTTTCTTTTGGGACCTAAACTGTTTATACCAGAGTATGTGATCTTCTTGAAAGCATAAATGGTAGTCAAGAAAGTAAGCATATTTGCATAAAAAACTGTATACTACTGATCGACGGCCTCCTCAGTGGCGTATGCCCGATCCATCTCCATTTTGCTCCTACATATTTATTGAGCAATCAGCACTCCGCTGCAGAATTCTTTGTGGCCAGCCGACGAAGGCGGCAGCTGTTGATAAAAGCTTGCAGTGGCTTGTTGGAAATGGTTTTCGTGACGCGACAGCAGTGCAAGTTTCTGACCCATATAGAAGTTATTGACTGACTGACTTCGCATTTGTGTTGAACAGCATCCGAATCTTGTTCTTTATGCTGGCTGAGTTAGTGCGGAAGATTTTCAAACTGGTTTCAGATTGATGAAGGTGTATCTTACCTTTCCCATTCTGGCTGGCCAGCTCTGACATCTTCATCCATTCCGCCGGTCTGTGGTTGAAACCGTGCTTCCCAGCTAGATAGTTGAAGGAAGTAACCTCTATCAAATCTCTCCCGTTGATGGTAATTGGTGATGGTTTCTTCTTCTGTTGGTTGGTTGGTTGGTTAGTTATCTTCATCACCGGAGTCTTCTGAATGTTCACCTGGATTCCCATCTTCACTGTCAGCCTCTTCAACCAGTTTGTTGGTTTTCGCCTGTAAGTCTTCAAGTTTTAGTGTGATATGAAACATGATTGAGTTGAGTGGTTGTATACTACTACTCATATCGCCCAGTAATGCTTGCCAGCCAACTCTGCTTTCTCCATTTTGATTGGTTAAGCTTCAGTTCTACTGATAAGTCGGACACGTAATGCCTTTATCAGGTTACTTTTCTGTCTTACTGACAAATTTATAGGAAGAAGCTGTAAAGGCAAGGTGGCCAGTGTGTCGACAAGATATTTTTAGTTATTGTACTTTTTATCGCCTTAATTCCACTTCCACGTAACTACACAGGCTTGTGGTGTGGCACCATATCGAATAACCAACAATATCTGGTCTTACAGGAGCAGGTGAAATAGCACACACACACACACAGGCACATAGAATGAGTTGACTTTTCTATCAAAAAAAACGTAACTTTTATTATTGATTGCTTCTATCTTTTATTCCAAAAAACAAAATTACTCAATTAGGCACCTCCGGGGACATCAATTGAAGGTGAAGTGGCTGATAGATTTGTTGTACACAGTGGACCGACAGATTATCTTCAACGACGTAATAAAAATGGTTGTGGACATTCACGTGAATCATGGGGTGGACATTAAATGAGGGGAGAAAATGGAAGCATCACTTCATTCAATGTTGAAGAAATTATTTATTATTACTATTATTATTATCTCTATCATTAATTTTTTTGTTTATACTTTCTAATAAGATATTACATTGTATTATGACCATCAGTTGTTGCTCATATGATTGTTAGTTGCAGATTATTTGTTAAAAGTTCAATTGTACTTTATTTGTTTTACTTAATCTAAAACTGAATAAAATGGATGTAAATAGTTAGCGTAAATTTGATTCCTATAAGAATAAAACTTGGGCATTGTGGTGGTAGAGTATAATTCCATTATGGATAAAATTTTATTTTGATAAAGTGTCACACACACACAGTGCGTTTATTATACAGTAATATTTACTGATGACCACGTTTCGAGCACAATTTATACACTGTTCATAATCATACAAAGGTACTACTCACACAACTTTCTTGCTTCATTGATATACATGAGTAAAAATTGATGATTAGACATTTGAATAAAATCAATCACTAAGATAGAGAAGATTTGTAGCTCAGGTGGATGATTTACAATTAGTTGTGTTCTCTGAGATGGTTGGTTTAATTGCGGAGCTTTCATCGTCCTTCTGGACAATATCTTCAGGGAAAGTTTTAGCATAAAATGAACTAATTCAAATTCTCCACGAATGATAACTGAAGCCGTCAGAATTAATAGCTCTACCTGTGATTAAACCAAAAGTCTGGGTAGGTTACGTTGATGATACATTTGTAATAATTAAAAGAAATGATTTGGAATATACCCATACATTAATAAACAACACATTTGAAGACATCAAATTCACAAGAGAAGAAGAATTAGATAACAAAATCCCATTTTTAGATGTCTTAATCAGGAGAACTATCACAGGAAATTTAGAAACACAGGCATATAGAAAATCAGCTCAAATAGACCAAATTATTATTGTTCCCTTGGGTTCCTAGTGGAACATAGGGCTTCAACTGCATGCCTCCACTTGCTTCTGTCTTCTGCTGTACTTTTCACTTGCATCCATGTTAATCCATACTGTTTCAGTTCCTGTTCACACGATCTCCTCCATGTCACCCTTGGACGTCCCACTCGCCGCTTCCCTTTCGGGTTCCACTCGAGGGCCTGACGCGTGATGTCACTCAACGGCCTCATCAGCGAGTGACCAAATAGACCAAATACTCAACTGTAATAGCAATAACCCAATTACCCACAAAAGAAACTGTGTGCAGACATTGTTTAAAAGAGTTCAGACACACTATAGCACTCCAGTGTTGAAGAGAATGGAAGAAAAAAATATATATTTTGGGACGCATGGGATTCACCGGATATGTTTCCATCACCATGAATAACCTTGAATTAGAATTGACTAAAATCAATCCATGATAATATTGGTTTTGTGACCTCTTTACTAATAAATGTTATGCAATGGATAATGCTGGACTACTTTTCAGGTTAAGTAAACTTGTATTTTTTATGTTATCTCATAACCCCACATAGGAACATGTTCTTTCCGACGATAGTGGAACATTCTATTGGTTCTAACTACCTACATATATATTTCACTGTGATTGCTTATGAACTTATAGATACAAATGTGAAGTAGACTCCATAGGATTTTGTCTTTTATTCATGAGTAGAAGATGGGATATCATATTCAAGAAGGTAGCAGAAGGTATGACGAGTAGTGTGGCCGCTTACCAGATGCGCGAAGCCTTTGAGCTGTTAGGAGATTCATAACAGTCGCTTCTTTTGTTGCGAGAGTGGCCTTTTAACAGGTGGTAACATACAATGAAGCTTTCAGAATATTTATTCATCTGAAAAATTGAATGTATGCACTGTGATTCATCGATTAATAACAATGTGTCACTCATGCAAATTTTTCCGAACCTTTGCAAAAACATTTGCACCGAATAGGCACATAACTACTGAGATGAAGATATTGTTCACTGCACACCTAATTGCGAAGTATCGATTGCTTGATTCTTCCATAATCCCACCCATTCAATGAAATTTTTATGGAAAGCAATTGGTTGGACAGTGCAAATTAATTGTGATGCCATTGAGATGCTCGGATAAAACTAAGTGCCGTCAACAATGGGTCACTTATCTACGTAACCTTTATAGAGAGTACGATTTGTCAATTTACCTTCCCTTCGTGGGGTATACTCCAACTTCGACATAAAGACGTCAGCCAATAGGCATCCAAGAGGCTAGCTAAACAAATACAATACCACTGGTTATTAATATGCTTCTATTCTATAGAGTTAATTACTTGTCAAACACTTTATTATTATCGGCAATCGTGCGTCGTTGGCTCAGCAGTATGACACTCGCTGACTACTCAATTGTTTCGGAGTTCGAACCCCGGTCGATAAGTCACTCCTATACCTTGCTACGCCGGTTGGGCATGAGACCAGCGACTCCAACCCGCATAAATAAAACCACTGCTACCGAAAATTCAAAACAATTAACGAAAATCAATGGGGAATTCCGAGTACAATATGCTCAATATAACACGAAATACAAATGAAATGTAAATACAATTTAATGATGCACATCCATCGCTCATCTTCACTTGTGAAGAAGAAAATGATGGTGGATTACACTTCCTTGATGTCCAATTGAGCAGAAGAGAGGATGGTTCCTACAAGAGAGATGTCAATAGAAGACCTACGTCTGTAGGACAATATACACATTTCCTCAGTTTTGTAGCAATCCGAACCAAAATCAATTTAGTCAGATGACTCCAAATAGATCAAAAAGAATCTGTACAGGTGATCCTTTAGAAAATGAATTGGGATACACCCAAAATACTCTGGTCCAAATGGGCCATCCTAGTAGATTTGTAAAGAGACACATGAACACCATGTAGAAAAAAGAGGAACCGACAACGGATGAAAATAAACAACTGTTCCTGAAACTGCAATTCAATGGGGTTTCGGCTACTGAACTCCTACATCTAAGATTATCGAGAGCAATAAAACGGACTTATACTGTTGTCACCCTTTGTGTGTCATTTTCCAGCCGACCAATTATAATCACTCAAGCGAAAGACAAGCTGCCTAGTTGTACAACTTCTATGTGCATTTACACTTATAAGTGCTCCTGTGAAGAAAGCTATGTAGGGCAAACAACTAGACAGATCAACAAACTTGTTACTGAGCATCTACCTTCATGGTTCGAAAAAGGCCAAGTAAAATCTATAAGAGTTTCTGTTTTGTGTCATTTGATTGATAGCAGTCATCAAATGGACAGAAGAAGGGCCTTAATAGTTATCTACCTTATTCCACGGAACCTCTCGAACCTACCTTTTACGCATAGCTGATGCTATGGGAACTCGAAAGAACAATCCTAGTCTTTGCATACAAAAGAAGTATGTTCTACCTTTGTCTCTCCATTGACCTAGATAAATGGTAAGTCAAAAACCTCCCACCCTTTCTTATTTTCCATTTCCTTTGTAGGTTTATGATATCTATTTAAACTATGATTATTTATCCACTTCACCCGTAGTAGTATTATGTAACTTCAAATCGCGGAATATACACATTGGGTCGTAGGAATTATTAAAAAGACGGTCACAGAAAAGAAAATCTTCTTTTCAACGAAGTCACCAACTAGGTTGTACATTCGTGTATTTATAGTAAGTGTGTGAGAAAGTTCCAGAATTATTTCCGGTCAAAGGATAAGTTAATAAAATTACACAGTGTAATAAAGACATAATAAGTTCGTGATTACTGAAAAACGTGACCGTTTGCATAAATTACAGATTAAGGACATGGTAATCACAAAATAGGTAGGAAGTTCGGACATAAATAAGAATGAAAAACAGCAACCAGATTAAGGAATGCAGACAGGAATTAGAAACGTAAAAATAACAGAAATAAACAGGAAGGTTGGATAAGAAAGGCAATAAATAGGGTAATCATTATATTGGGGGACTGATTTTTCATGATGGCCACGGTAGCGACAACGGTTGGACGTATTTCTTTTGAACACATAGCTTGGGCTTGAGTTTTTGGATCGCCAGTGTCTCAGCTATTCCTAGATGCCTTGATTTCACTACCTTTGACAGTTTTGATCGGATCTTGGATATGACTTTGTAGGACTTTCCAAGTGGAGTTGAATGTCCTCAATTCACCAGATTACGTAACTTTTAAGATTTCATCCAATTTACTTATTAAATTGTCTATATATACACATATTAATAACCTTCTTTATTATTATCGCCGCCTGCATAGACTTTGTTATCATTATTTTGTTATCACTAAAACCATCGTTGTCACTGACGTTCAAAACATTTACCACATTATTATTATTAGATCCACAAAATCACCGTCATTGGTTAAACTTTTTATATATAAATCTATGTAAATTAGAGTAAAGCCTGAAGAAGATCTAATTGAAAACAACAATATTGTTCGCTTATATGTCTTCTTCAGGAAAATATATAGCAAACGCTTCAGTTTAACTTACTTTACTTAACTTCGGCTATCTCCTACGGAAGGATGAGCCGGCTTCATGAACATCTCGAATCATCGCTGCCCAGGCGCGGCGATCTGACGCAAGGTTTTGCGTCGTTTGCAAGAGGGTTCATGAAGTTTCATGGGAATTTGGTACGAGTGGTGTCCCCAGAATCGCTCGACCATTTGTTTGAGAGTGCAGCTCTAGCCTTTACACAACCAAGTGTGACCTACAAGGCAGTAGGAGTGGAGTAGGGAGTCCACTATCCATTGGCAGTCGGTGACCGGAGTTCGGTTCATACGCCTTTTTGAATGGGGCCAGACATCCAGGACATTCAACAAGCCCTTTATCCATACGTCTGCCGGTGAGCTTCATACGCCAGTCGTTGGAGGTTTGGAATCAGGGTTTAGCCATCTCCCCTAGACTGTCATTCAATGGACAGTCAACCCGGTGAAGAGCGCTGGGCATCCGCTTTCGCCCTCTCACTTTGGTGAAAAACACCTCCGCCACGTGAAGGCAGTGAGTAGGACTTCCTCAGGAGAGGCTATGTAAGACGCCCGGTGATATGGGAGCATTTCAAGAGGTGTGCGGAGGGGTGGCCAACCCGCCTCGCAAGGCACCCACCCCCGACCATCCTGAGGCTTTGGAGGCTTCAGTTTAACCCTTGAATTCGATGTAAAACTAATGAAAATAAGATACAATTTCGCGGTCAAATCCTCAGAGTGAAGTGTAATACAATAAGATAGAGATTGCATAAATTATAGGGACGCCAATAGAGTTGACATGTATGACCACACGTTGTTTGGGTTAAATGACAAAGCAACAGATGATTTGGATAATAACTGATGCAAAACGATGCGCACATGACTAAATGGTAATATGTTTATCACGAAGCTTAACAGTTTTAACTCTGACATATGACAGATAAATTTCAATTTACTATAAAACATTTGTTAACAGATTTGACCACGAGCTGACACAAGTTAGAGAACCATTGAGTACATTGGACAACTGTTTCGTCCTAGTTCGGGACTCTTCAGCACCTAACACACTCAACGTCTGAGACCATTATTACTCATGATATTGCGCCACCACTTAATACAAAACAATTCGATATGCAAGCACCTATGGTTGGAAGCGACTACAATTTGCATTCACAAAACTACATGACTGCACCAGTGAAGACAACTCGATTTTGGCAAATGCTAAATAATCTTTCGACATAAGCGCTGAGAATTTGTCAGTATCAGTTTACTAGAGCTGATACACTACATCCTTAAAACAGAAGGCTGTACTAAACCAGCCGTGTAGTATGAACTTACCTATGACAGGGATAAATCGCATGCCGAATATAGTTTAAGTTTTGTTAAGAGTGTTTAGGAGACTTTGAATTTTTAGGTATTAGTTTTGTAGGGATATTGTTTGCTTGGATGGAGGATTTCATCATGAACTGACGTCAGTTAGAGAACCACTGGAAAACCTGGGAGTACTGGACAGCTGTTTTGTCCTAGTTTGGGACTTCTCCGTATTATACATCCATTGGGGTTCGAACACATAACCTTTCTGTTGCCACGTGAACCCAAAGACCATTCAATAACTGGGACCCAATCAAATCTCAGTAAACCAACACTTGAAAATCAATCACTAGCGACTTGTTCTATAACAGGAAGTTATCTGCAGTTCTATTTAGAAGTTGTGACCACTAGCGTCCACCAAGTCGGCGGATGAAAGGACAGTTACGCGCTGGTGACAATAACTGGAGAATTGGCAAAAGTGAGGCCACCAGTGACTGAATGGTCTACGAGCCCACCTCATAGCCGGAAGATCCTAGGTTCAAACCCTGATGTGTGTGTGTTGCTGAAGTATCTCAAGCTAGGCCAAAGCAGCCGTTCAATACTCGCTCCATGGCTTTCCAATAGTTATTTAACTAGCATCAACTCGTAATCAGACCTGTAACCAATCAAATCCCTGCAAATCAACATTTAATTAATGCCTCAAGTAGCAAATATACCAATATTTTATTATATTCTACAAGCGGCATTTTATAACCGATATTCTACTGAAAAAAATATCTGTACAAAGGACAGGAAATGACAAGAATCAGAAGAAGAAGAAGAAAACACGAAGCACATTCAAACAATAGTGTGTTATGAGATCATAGTTCAACCAGAGAGAATGACAAATTCTCGCCAAGGTAAAGAATATGCGACAGGAAGAATCAGTTAGTTGACTTTACTCACTGGCTCTTGATTTTCTTCGTAAATCTCTTTAGCAAGAGTCAGTAATTGACTGAGTTGTGCTTCTGAAAAGTAATTCAACAGCTTATCATCTAATGGTTTGCCAATTTTCGGCTCGTCTACACTTTTACCGTTGGCTTCTTGTTGTTTTGCTCTGATTTGCATTGATAATTCAACTGCATACTTCTATAAAGAAGACAAATAGTTAATGGTATTAGTAATAATAATAACTCAAGGATTGAATGTTTTGAAGAAAAACACGTTGGTTTACGATTTGAAAAGTACCATAAACTTTTGAGTTTAGACAACATACAACCAATGATCTATGCAGTGGATCAGTAGATCAGGGCTGGGCATGTTCATTAGAAGATATGGAAAAGTTAGCTGTCTTTGGGCATAAATGTTCGCGTTTTCTATCCCCGTGTTAGGTGGTATTGTGGTGAGTGCTACTGATAAGATTTATCAGTAGTATGCATAAATAACATTAAATATCAGAGAGGTACATTTGATGTCAGAGAAGGCAAATAATACAATGTTGTGGAGATACAATGAAGACGTGAAAGAAACGAGTTGGATAAGACTCACAACTTAATAAACAACGTCTTCAACGACATCAAATTCACAAGAGACGAGGAATCCGAGAACAAAATCTCATTTTTGGACATCTTAGTCAAGCGAACAACCACAGGGGAATTAGAAACTCAAGTTTATAGAAAATCAACTTACACAGACCAAACACTGAGTTACAACAGCAACAATACAATAACATACAAAAGGAATTGTATACAAACACAATTTAAGAGGGCCAGGACTCCTTGCAGCACTCCCAACTTAAGGAAAATTGAAGAAAGATATCTCATGGACGTCTTCCAAAATAATGGATATCCACGGAATTTCATCAAAAGATATATACCCCCAACCTATCAAATCAAAGGCCCTCAAGGAAAGCACACGGGAAATTGCTCTACCACATATAAAAGACATCTCAGAAACCACTGCAAGGTTCTTCGAACCTTGATGAGGAATTCACGTCGCACACAAACCAACAAAATCACTCCACTCAGTTCTATGTCAACCAAAAAACCCAACAACGAAGGAAGATAAAACCAACATCATCTACAAAATAAATTGTAACAACTGCGAAAAACACTACATTGGCCAAAGTGGACGTCCCCTTCGTCTGCGTATCCATAAGCACAAGCTAGCCGTCAAAAGACATGAAATCCACTCCCTCATATCTCCTTACTACATACAGACAACCACGGACATCAATTCGACTGGGACAACCAACGTTCAAATATTAGACAGAGGAAACACCAAGAATGCTAGAGAATTTTTAGAAGCCTGGTTTTGCAGTGAATCGTCAATCAATAGGGTCAAAGTTCAAGTCAAGGAAACAATCAGCACCAATACAAGTTGCCTAGAGGGTGTGAAAACACACGAAAACAAACAATGACGTTCAAAGTGACCAGGAGAGATAACTAATAAACTCGTGGTGAAATCTAAAAGCTCACTTCAACAAATTGAAGTATGCGCTGAAGGTGTTGCCTAGTAGGGCGATGAAAGCTTCGCAAATTAACTATCCAGCTCAGAGAACACAACAACATCGAACTCATCCACCTGAGCTACAAATCTTCTCCATCATATCTAAGACAAGGTGTACATAATTTGGCTATGTAGAGATACCAATTTCCAAATAAACACTCCTTTACCAAGTCTTCATCTTCTACTGTTTCAGTATAACAAAACAAGTAATATTGAGGCTAGGCGTAGAGTGTTAAGTGAAGAAGGTAAGTCAAACGATGAAGTTGTGAAGCTGTACATCGACTGTGATGCCTAGGACAAGTGTTATGCATGGCCTAGCTATCACTTGCTTCAACGGGCAATGTTAGCTGACATAGGCTGGGTCAAGTTGAAAAAAGCTAATGATGGTCAAGCCAAAAAAACATCGAATCAGTTCATGAAATCTTTGACAGATAGTTTGAGTCACGTAGGGAGGTCTAGACTTCCTTGTTGGGGTCCTCGAGATGGTGAGAACCAATGGCGATTGGAGACAATGGGTGATATGGGTCAAAATCGATCTCAATGGCTGGGGCAGATGCATTCACTCTTTGTGATCTCCCTTATCTATTAGACCGTATTACTTTTCCATGTTACTATTCCCTCTACCTCACATGTCTGCTATTATAGTCGTCCTTTTGAATCTTTTCCACTCTGTTTTCCTTTGTATGTTATACGAAATACGAAGACTCGAACTGGTGAACTTACATGAAAAGTTCTGTGTTGAAACCAGCCAGTCAGTCAGTCAGATTACATGGCAATGTACACAAAAAGATATTAGTTTATAGTAGTCTGCTAAAGACCAGACTTAGTACATCAGTGGAAGCTCAACAATCGCTCACCTGGTTCGGGCCGACACACTTAAACCTTGCTTATTCAGATACACTTGGTACATTACGGGCATCAATAGGTGAGCCACAAAAAACCTCATAGTTTGTGCGAGGGCTTGGATACTGGCCGAACGCTCAAACCGAAGCAAGTGGCAGTCTTAAGGGGCCACCTCCTGCACCTTTTGACTTGAAGTCCGATCCATAGAGCAGTACAGCATGTAGCCAAAACCAGGTTATACGCCACTTGATCGGTCCTAGTTCTTGCACCTATTTACACCATAAGTTCGGAATCAGGGTTTTCCTGTCTCCCCCCGCCCCTCTAGGTAAACCAGCATGTCCGGTTGCAAGTGCAGGAGGTTCGCATCAGCCGTCTCACTTTTGTGAAGAACATCTCAATCGCGTGAAGGCAGTGAACAGGACTACATTGCTTAGGTACAAGATTAGAAACCCTACTCCATAAAAAGAACAATACCACCGTTATTGATACTCCACAGGTCAAGTTTGAGGTCTTATGCTCCCCACTCAGAACGCAAAGGAACAAAATAAATACATAACAAGTCACAAAACAACAGGGTAGATGAAAAAGACAAGACAAGATCAAGAGAGAAAATAGACCGTACACAATTAAGCAACAATATTTTTAAACCCACACTTACTGTCCACTCAATCATAAATGGTTGAATAAACTCAGGTTTAGCATTCTTGTGTTTCTGAAACTCTGCTTTCACGTACTTATCACCGATATCTTTTAAAGTAGGAGGCAGTGAACGATGTAAATTCAGTATGAATTTATACAAGAAGCGAACTCTTTGTGGGTGAGTAGCAGTTTTTAAAAGATCATGAGACATAGCATTGAACGGGAATTACTAATTCCGTGTAGATATAGGTCAATAATTTGAGCAGTGTACAGGAATCCCCCCTATAAAGACTAACCTAAAAATCAAGAAATTAAAATAAAGGATTTCATTTATGAAGAATTTGATACAATAAAAAACATTCCAGCACATTTAGGGTGTTTTGCTAACAGTTTAGTAGACAACATATAAAAAGTTCCAGAATTTATATCATGTAAACAGTTTTGAAAAATGCACACACTTCACCCCAATGAAAGTAGTTGTTTGACAGAATATATATCCAATCTTAAAAAGTCGTATAACAGTATACTGATTGAGACTTTCAAGTTTTTTAACAGCAGAAACCTTCGAATGATTCATCCATGTCAAATGTAAGATGATACTAGAGAAATGATGATCTGTACCCACTCCCATTTTAAAGACAGCGAGTAAGGTTGGTTGGTCATGTTGACCACTTCACTTATTTAGGAATTCGCATCAGCCAAAATGGACTGATTGTTGACAAAATCTCAGGTCAAACAGAAAATGCTCGTGTGGTACTTACCAGTTTACTTCATTCCTAGTGTAGACGTGACACTTGGATACCGATCAAAAGACTTGTGTACTGCACAACAGCAGTTCGCTCTGTCATTCTTTATGACCGTAAGACGGTCTTTGAAGGTGGAAGACATGAAAAGGCTAGCTGTGTTTTGATCACATATGTTAGCATTCTATATCCCGTATTAAGTGGTGTAGCATGATACGTAATAATGTTAGGCATAGTGTTGGGTAAGAAAGGGAAGCCTATCGATGAGGTTGTGAAGCTGCATCGACTGCGACATTCAGGACATGTGTTACGGGTGCTACCTTACCACCTTCCTCGAGGAGCACTGTCGGTTAATAGACGATTAGGTTGAAAAAGAGTTAGGAATGGTCAGACTAAAACCTATCATTACTCCATGAAATGTGTGATGGTTTTTTTTGAAACCAAGCAAGGGAGTGTAGACTTCCTGGCTGGAGTCCTCGGGACCCTAAGAACTAGTGACTGGAGACTGATGGTGATAAGGCTCAATACAATTCCCAAGGGAGTAGATGTTGGAACTTAGTCTATTTGACAAGATGATAAGTTACTCACATCGTATAGTGTTGCATCAGTCACTGGAGAAAATTCCTCATTTTAGATAACAGAAATACTTGTATTGCTGTAAGATAGCGATCACATGAAAGGGATTTTTGTGGGAATGTTGCCACGAAAAAAACAGCAAATGATGAAAACCAAGTGTTATAAACAAGATATGTTGTGGTTTTCTACTGTCAGAGCATGAGACTGCTTATAGGCATTCAATTAATTCTTCGCACATATGTGTGGCTGTTCAAGTCGCCACACTCCATGTAGTACACAAAGAAAGAGAAGAAAGTAGAAGAAATGCATAATATAGACAGTAAACAGAGGTGTGAGACAAAGGAATAGTAATAACGGAGAACAAAACAGTTTAATTGGAAATCATAAGTCACAAGGAGTGGATGCATCTGCGCCACTGAGAACGATTTTGAGCCATGTCACCAATTGTTTCCAACCATTGGTTTTTACCGTCCCGAGGACCCCAACCAGGAAGTCTACATCTTCCTACGTGGCTTAGACTAACTGTTGTGGATTTCATTGACTGGTGCCATGTTTTCGTTTGACTGCCGCGTGCTAGCTCTTTTCCAGCCTGGCCCTATATCAGCTAACATTGCCCGTCGAGGAAGGCGATGACTAGGCATACGTAGCACATGTCCTAACCATCTCAGTCGATGTAATTTCACAGTCGTCGACTGATTTCCCCGCTTTACCTAGCACTCGAATGATGCTTAACCTCAATATTGCTCACCTTATTATACCACTTCGCGCGGGAGAAACAACGCAGACACCTATGATCGAAGACAGCTAATCTTTTCATGTCTTCCGCTCTCAATGGCCAGGTCTCACAGCCATGGAGGAGGACGGAGCGGACTGTTGAGCAGTACACACGCCCTTTGGTCGATAGTCGGATATCGCGTCTACACCAGAGACGGCGTAAACTGGCGTATGCGAAACTAGCCCTCTGTATTCGTCCTGAGATTTCGTCGGAAATCAACCCGTTGGGGCTGATGGTACTTCCCAAGTAAGTGAAGCGATCAACACACTCCACTAACCACTTCACTCCCTATTTCTAAGCTAGGAGTCAATGTAGTTCAGTCCTGTAACATCACCTTACATTTGGCGGGAACGAATCGCATGCCAAACATTCGTGGATTGCAGCTCAAGGTGTTCAGTAGACTCTGCATTTTGTCAGCATCCTCTCCTAGAAGGACTATATCGTCTGCATATTCTAAGTCGACGAGATTATTCGCTGGTAGCAAGTCAATTCCTGAGTCGCTGAAGTGTGTTAGGGTTAAGTCCATTAGTAAATCTATGATAAAGTTGAATAGGAATGGGGATAATGGGCATCCTTGACGGACGCCACTAGTCGTCACCACTTCAGATGACAACTCGCCATAAGCCCTCACCTAGCTGCATGAGTACGAGTAGAGTGCCTTAATCAGTGCAATGTATTTTCTCGGCATTCCCTTTACAGCCAAGCATCGCTAGAGAACCTCTCGGTCGACAGAATCGAATGCCGCCTTTAGGTCAAGAAATATAATGATTGTCGGACACCGGTAGGAATGCCTATGTTCTAGAATCTGTCAAAGGGTGAAGATATGATCAATACACCCTCTTCCTGGCCTAAAACCTGCCTGGTTTTCTCGTCTTTGTGCCTCCCGAGCACCACTTAGTCTACGCAGTATTATTGAGCCTGGGATTTTAGATACTATATTAGTCAAGCTAACCCCTCTGTGATTATCACAAGAAGACTTGTCTCCCTTCTTGTATATCGGGATGATCAGTGACTTACACCAACCCTATGGGACTTCCTCTGATTCCCAGACGCTGCCTAGAACCTTAGTTAATGCAGACAGTAAACTGTCTCCACCGTACTTAAATACCTCTGGAGTCATTCCATCAAGTCCTGCTGCTTTGCGGATGCCCGGTGCTCTTCATCGGGTTGACTGTCCATTGGATGACAGTCTAGGGTAGATGGCTAAACCCGGATTCGAAACCTCCAACGACTGGCGTATGAAGCTCACTGGAGCTCACTGGCAAACGTATGGACAAAGGGCTTGTTGGATGTCCTGGATGTCTGGCCCCATTCAAAAAGGCGTATGAACCGAACTCCGGTCACCGGCTGCCAATGGATAGTGGACTCCCTACTCCACTCCTATTGCCTTGTAGGTCACACTTGGTTAGGGTTAGGGTCAGCTCATTTAACAGTAATCGCTCTATGGGGATTATTTAATTAAATGAGCTTAACGTCATTTCTTAACCTCGCCTAGATTACTAGGTCACTAGTATTCTAGCCGGTCCCAAGCCCGGATAAAGAGGGAGGGTTGGGGCGTGGTGCTAGCAACTCCACCCGCAAAACTTAACCAGATTGCTACTAAAACTTCAACGCACAAATATATTCAAAATTCTAAAATTACAAATAGTGACCTTATTTTTCGCTGGAATCGGGGAAGTGAAATGACGCGGGCTGGTGAAAGCCTTCGGGAAGCCAGTCAGCCGATGTGCCTTCTTTCGATGAAAGCGAAAATAAGGATGGGGACGTGGAATGTTCGTACAATGTACGAAGCTGGGAAGGCTGCTCAGGTAGCCGCAGAAATGAGGAGATATAAAATAGAAGTGTTGGGAATCTGCGAGAGCAGATGGAACGGATGTGGAAGGAGCCAACTATCAACTGGAGAGACAATAATCTACTCCGGTCACCCAGAGGACAATCACGAGCACACCGAGGGAGTAGCCATCATGATGTCACCAACAGCGGCTAAAGCTCTCATGCAGTGGGAACCAATCTCCTTCAGGATAATGACAGCCAGGTTCAACTCAAAAGGAAAAAAGGTTACAATCATTCAATGCTACGCGCCTACAAACGCCTCAGAACATGAGAAGAAGGAGGATTTCTACAGTCAACTACAAACAGTAATGGACAACGTCCCAAAGAGCGATATCAAAATCCTGATGGGCGACATGAATGTGAAACTGGGAGGAGACAATACAGGAAGAGAACTCACCATGGGTCGTGAGGCCCTCGGTGAAATGAACGAAAATGGTGAACTCTTCTCAGACTTCTGCGCCTTCAATGATTTGGTGATTGGTGGCAGTGTGTTCAAACACAGGGATATACACAAGGCAACATGGATTTCACCAGATGGACACACCAAAAACCAGATAGACTTCATTTCAATCTCAAGGAAGTGGAGACGGAGCCTACTGGACACAAGATCGAGGAGAGGAGCAGATGTGGGTTCAGACCACTATCTAGTACAAGGAACATTCAAGGTGAAGCTGAAAGCCTCGAGGATAGCTGGGGATAGGCCACAATGCAAGTTCAACACTCACAAACTGAAGGACACAATCACACAGGACATTTTCACTGCAACTGTCAGAGCAAAGCAGGAAACACTACGTGGCACCACTGAAGAATCATCCGTGGAAGACCATTGGAACTCTCTGAAGGTAATTTTCAACGAAACGTGCTCAACGGTTTTAGGAAGAAAGAAGAAACAAGACAAGGAATGGCTCTCAACAGACACTTGGAAACTAATAGAGGAGAGGAGAAAGGTGAAAGAAAAAATGATTCAATGCAAAGATGGACAAGAGAAAGAGACGCTGAACTCAACTTACACAGCACTGGACAAAGAAGTGAAGAAGAGTGCCAGGAAGGACAAAAGACAATTCTACGACAACCTGGCTACTGAAGCTGAGAAGGCAGCAGGCAAAAGGGACCTGAGGACACTATATCAGATAACCAAGTCTCTATCCGGGAAGAGATCAACACAAGTGAAACCTATAAAAGACAGCCAAGGGAACCCAATTACCAAAGAAGAAAGACAGATTAAACAATGGGCGGACCACTTCAAAGGACTCTTGAATCGACCACCACCTACAACCCGTCCAGTAATACCAACAACAGCACGTACACAACTGCAAGTTGACACCAATCCTCCAACGAAAACTGAAGTCATGAATGCAATCAAGCTTCTGAAAGCTGGAAAAGCAGCTGGACCAGATGGAATACCCCCGGAAGCACTGAAAGCGGACCCAGAAACGACAGCAGATATGCTGACTCCATTATTGCAAAAGATCTGGAAAGAGGGAAAGGTGCCTACTGACTGGAGGAAAGGTTACCTGGTGAAACTACCAAAGAAGGGCGACCTGGGACTCTGCAAGAACTGGCGAGGAATCATGCTCCTGTCGACGCCAAGTAAAATCCTGAATCGCATCATCCTGGAGAGAATCAAGGACGCGCTGGATACAGAACTCCGACCAGAACAAGCTGGATTCAGGAAAGGCAAATCATGTTCTGACCAAATTGCAACTCTACGCATTATCATCGAACAAAGCATGGAATGGCAATCAAATCTCTACCTCAACTTCATAGACTTTGAGAAGGCCTTCGACAGCGTTGACCGCGAAGTAATTTGGAAACTACTCGAGTACTACGGCGTACCCCAAATATTCATCAACCTTATTCAACAACTGTACGACAACGGCACATGTCAAGTGATCCACAACGGAAAACTCAGCGAAGCGTTTGGAGTAAACACAGGAGTCAGACAAGGGTGCTTATTATCACCAATGATATTCCTAATTGTGGTGGACTGGATTATGCGTCAGACAGTGGGAAACGAGAAGACAGGGATATCCTGGACCGACGTAGAGAACCTAGAAGACCTGGATTTTGCGGATGATTTATGTTTGATGTCACACAAAATCGAAGACTTACAAGCGAAAACCGACAAACTGGTCGAAGAAGCAGCAAAGACAGGACTCCAGGTGAACATAGACAAGACGGAGGTCATGAAAATAACCAACCAACAACAACAACAGTAGCAGAAACATCCAGTGCCAATCACCATCAACGGGAGGGATTTGAAAGAGGTTACTTCATTCACTTATCTAGGGAGCACTGTCTCAACTACAGGAGGAACGGACGAGGATGTCAAATCGAGAATCAGGAAGGCGAGAAACACATTCATCAACCTGAAACCAATCTGGAAATCTTCGTCACTCAACTCAGCATCAACAACAAAATGATTCGGATTTTCAATACAAACGTCAAGTCAATTTTGCTTTACGGATCAGAAACTTGGCGGGTCACCAAGAATATTTCCAACAGCCTGTTGCAGACCTTTATCAACAACTGTCTTCGCTCTATACTGAAGATCAGATGGCCGGAAAGAATCACAAACAAGAAGCTATGGGAACAAACGAAACAGGAACCAATCGCCCAACAAATATGCAGGAGGAAGTGGAGATGGATTGGACACTCGCTGAAGAGGCCGTTGAGTGACATCGCGCGGCAAGCCCTCGAGTGGAACCCGAAAGGGAAGCGGCGAGTGGGACGTCCAAGGGTGACATGGAGGAGATCGTGTGAACAGGAACTGAAACAGTATGGAATAAAATGGACGCAAGTGAAAAGTACAGCACAAGACAGAAGCAAGTGGAGACGTGCAGTTGAAGCCCTATGTTCCACTAGGAACCCAAGGGAACAATAATAATATAATAACAACGTCATTTCTTATTTGTTTACACTGCTAATTTCTGAAACGCCCACGGTTAACGTTGAAGACCTGTTCGGTGGTTATGATAAGATGACGGTATGGTTCGTACTAAAAATAATGTACATCAACTCACCCAGCTGTATTGTATTTTAGTCTGGAAACGTTTTATTAATATATGTGTAAAACTTGGGCACTGTGGTAGTAAGTAATTCCATATTAGTTTGTTTATTAGATATATCACACAGTGAAACAGTATTATTTACTGGATGACGTTTCGAACAAAATTTATTGTTCATAATCATATAAACTTTAATCACACGACTTCAAAGTCGTGTGTTTCACTGTGTGATATATCTAATAAACAAACTAATATGGAAACGTTTTGCTTAATTTAAGTAGGCAAGGATCAAGTAGATAAACTAGTGTGCAAGAACTAGCTCGAACTGAATACTGAAGCGTGTAAAGAAAAATAGGTGTTGCTGGTTATGCAGAAGTAATCATCAAAACAAAACTATTACTGGTGAAATAGATTCGGGAACCAATTAGAACCTTTCCTTCAAAATGTAATAAATTTCCCCTGAAATATTTGAAAAAATACCCTTCAAATCATGAATTTGTTTAGTAAAGGTGATGCGAGGAAAAAGCAATTGTTCAGTAAATTAGTGTGCTCAGAATAAGGTTAAAGTTACTCCTGTAACATTATTTTCACACTCTTCAAGGGAGGAAAACACACACAGCGTCTACGCTATTTTTCCCAAATGATAATATGCAATATGGACTTACAAAAGAGGGACACAATTTACACAAGTTATATCCTAACGTATTTTCGTACCTGTGTAACGCATATGTTGATAGAGGGCGGTGAATACTCCTCACGTCCAATACACAATATTGTTTTTTTTTGAGCTGATGTCAGCCATACTGATTTCTTCGTGCTCACCTCTTGGTTGTATGGTAGAGATTCTTGATCTTTGGTAAACTCCTACATAGTGTGCACCGCCACTCGATTATCGCTTCAGATGACTCCAGGAGGAGTGGTGTCGGGATTGGTTATATATGATTTGCAGAATCTCATTTTCTCCTTGATCTCATACCACCGTTGAAGTGCTATGGCCAACTGCTCTGGGGAGATGAATGTGACACTTAGCAGCTTTGGAGAGCTGATCAGTGTGAGATGAGCGGGGCGAGGTAGTCGGGAAATGGAGATGGCTCCAGAAGCGCCAAGGGCCATCTGAGACGACAGCCATCTCCACTGCTGTACGTCATGCATGTGTTTTTCACAAGCAGTGCCCATTTCCAGCTCCGGAACACCGTGTACAACCATAGAGGTAGAAGGCATCAGTTCCCGTGACTCCCTCGCCATTTGTCTGATAGCCCTGGTCTGTCTTGTCTCACCCTTATGTTTCAACTTCTGTCGATGGCTAGTACCTGAGCCATCAATAGTATCTTTTCGGCCTCTTCGGCAGAGTCCAGTGTAACCCGTAATGGGGGTGGCTTACCTTAAGGCGTGTGGGCACCCCTGTACAGCCTGCACAATTTCACTGAACTCATGTCCAGACCTAATTTATTGCACAGGTTGGACCACTGTTCCTGATCAAACAGGGCCCGCTGTTCAAGCAAGCTGTCCTTGCTCACAGATACGTTAAAAAGGGTAAGGGAATTAGACCGATTAACCTCAGACTTAGGTTTGGCCTTTGGCTTCTTGTATTCCTTTGCAGCATCAGCAACTTTAGACTTCATCAGGCTCTCTGCAGCCTTTGTTGTGTTGCCGAGCTTGCTTGTGGTTGCAAGTGGTACTTTTCTAATTCTCGCTTCCCTTGATTTTGTGGGTCCAACCCTTCGAATCTTCACCTTATGGAAGTTCGCATTTTCAGTCAGTAGGACTGGAGTGTCCTTCTTACCATCTGAGCCAAGTTCTGGCAGTGTGGAGTTAGCAGGTGGGGAGCTGCATAAGACTTTGTTGGGACACAAGAGCGACTTTTTGTTTCTGCTATCTGCAGGCACACTCTTTCGGACTATGCCAGGGCGACAAAGTGGACAGACGTACTAAAACCATGAGCACGGGTTATTTCTCATAAACTCGTAGTATGCTTTCGGCACCTCTTTGTCACAACGGCAGTGCACCCACCGTTCGGAAAAATCGCATTCAAACGCTGAGTCGGCTTTAGATACTATGATACTGCACGCCTGGCATTCGTCTCCCTTACCTGATGCCACCTTCGAGGTCTTATGACGTCTTGAGCGTTTCCTTTTAGGTTTGCTGTGTTACACACACTGGCTTTCAGTTAATGCAGGTGTAGTATCCTTTCCCCCCGGTATTTTCTGTGCCGTTTCAGTACTAGACTGTGGCAATGCAGGCGTAGTATCAGGACAGACAAGACCTACACGAGTCTTTAGGATCGGTATGGAGGAAGGGGTTGATGTCCCTGGGGTTTTGCCTTCTCTGGCTGAAGCCCTTGTGACCACAGAGTAAGGTGTTTTAGTGCCTTTTCTAAGGCTTCTTTTGACAGCCATATTGACAATCGCTAAAACTTATGCTATACAAGAATAAGAGTGCAACAGTATCTACTCGCAAGAACAAAAAAATAAGACTGAAAAAGTACAAGACAAGGAAAAGAAAAGGTTTTCGACTTTACATAGTACTTTCTGGATGATTGGCTTCACAGCAATCACGTGAACGACCAAAAAGTCTTGTTTATCTGAACGAGTGAGGAAGATGCTGCTAAAAAAAGCACCTGAAGCTTTGGCGGTAGTTCGAGACGGCTAGACTTACCACACAGCGATTCAATATGTAAGTAATGGTTGAATTTAATTCACCGGCTGGGAAGATCAAGTTTCCTAAGTGGATAATTCACAAAATTGGTATTTTCCGGTTAGAGAGGAAAAAGCGCGTCGTATTCAAGGAGCGCGCGCGGTTAGTCTTACGATGTGACTGAGAGGAGAGATAATAGTAGATATAATTCGAGGGATCATAATCGACGTATCAGCTTCTGATCCGCGATTCTTCGTGGTTTGTTATGAGGAAGGCCATAATGACTAATAGCAGAATACATTTATTTAGGTGTGTCTTGTCATCCGTAATCTTTTAGGCAGTGATTACGTCCCCCACAAAGCTGATGGTAGCTAAGTGTGCAAAGACCTTATTTCCCCAATCCTTCATCACGAGGCTTATTCCGGAGGCCCATCACCTCTCTTGTCTTAAGACGACATCCGAAAGGTTGGCGTCTCTTCTGAGTGACGAAAGAGCAGTAGTATTGTACACTTCAGGGTGCTGTCGTACACATGTTTTATATAACCTCAGAAAAGTCTAAGGAGTAGACGCACCTAAATGTCTACCGAAAATTTAACAACTGCATAATCCATCTGTCAATGTCCAGGTCTAACTACCCTGGACTTAACGCTGTTCTTAGAAGACTTTCAGAAACTATTGTCAATAACCAACGCGAAAAACCAGAACACAAATTGGTGATTCAAGAATCCTACATTCTTGCGCCAATACAGAACCAACCACAAGGTTATTGTACACAGAGTCTAAGGATAAATGTTATAACAATTAATGACAATAATACTTCTGATAGTTTTTCTTTGTCTTCTAAAACACAGCGAACCATGGAACGATGACTGCACTATCGATGACTCCCACCAAAATATGGAGTTGGATTTGAGCAAACAACGGTTAAATTGATCGTTCATTCTTCAACTACTTTGACACCATTGCTACTCAAATTGTGTAATTCACGCTTGTATCCAGCTTTGATATAAGTGTTTAACTTGGGCACTATGGTAGAATATAATTGCATTATTTATAAAGTTTATTTTTATAAAGTCTTACAGTGTTATACTGTAATGTTTACTGATGACGTTTCGAGCACAATTTATGTTGTGAGTACCCTAACATGGTTGCGAGCGATAAATTTTTCTCGAAATGTCATCAGTAAATATTACTGTATAATACCATGTGACCTTATCAAAATAAATTTCGCCCATAATGGAATGTATCCAGTTTTTCAGTCAGAGCAAGACCTAACTTGCACTCGGATGTTGTACAGAACAAGTTATCAACTAATTAATAATAACTCGCTCTATGGTGTTTGGATACGAAGCTGCAGTATTTTGCATTTCCCTAGATCGAAATACTTACTATTTACCAATGCTCAGAGTTTTCATGTCTGTGTTTTCCAAAAGACTTTATTGGTCTCCAAATTAATACTTCGTCAGCCTTAAAAAAACCAGGCAGTTTAAACGGAGTGGTAGATCACTAATAAAAACCAAAAACGCCAAGGGCTCCAGAGATTCTCGATGTCAGACAGTGTGATGATAATCGGGCACGACTGACTGTGGTGTGGAATCCCCTTCTGTCTAGGTAGTCCTCTTATCATGAAAGAAGGGGACCATCAATATCTGACTTATTTTGTGAAGGAGAAGACCATGTTGACTAGTGTCAAATACCTTCACGAACTCGAAGATGATTATATGGACTGGAATATTTATATCCTAGCATGATGCTCAATGAAAGTGGACTTGTCACACAGCATATACCACCCCTGAAACCGTCCTGTACTTCACAAAGTGTGTTGTCAAGGTGCTGCCCGATACGATCATTAGTCAAACTTCACTGCCTTAGAAGACAGGTCATTTAGTCTGCTTGAACAACTTCGAGCTTGTTTCCGATTGGCTTCAACTGGAAACAATTCTCACAGTTGTTGTGTGGCCATCTATCCTACTGGACCTGAGTTTTGGCCTAGATTCGTTCTAACTATTTGGCCTGGACCACCTAAACGGGTAGCCAAGCTGTTGTTATCACCGCTCAAACTAGACAAGGGGAGAACATAACCCTTGCGGCCGTTCAAGGATGTATTTATTCATATCGTAATGAAGAGGTCACCGAAATAGACAGTCATACCACAGTGCATGACAGCACACTTGTTCCCTGAAAATAAGTTGTCTGAAATCCGACCCAGTCATCATAGACAAACAAATTGACCGCGAAAAAGAAATGGCTGAGACTGAATTTAATCACGTAGCCGAAGAGATGAGAAGATATGTATAGAAGTGCTGGGAATCTTCGAGAGCAGATGGAATGGATGTGGACTGTCGCATTTGTCAACAGGTGAGTCAGTAGCCTAACTCGGTAACCCGGACGACAACCACGAGCACACTGAGGCAGTGAGAGTCTATCATGATATCATCAGTGGCAGCCAAACCTCTTATGCAGTGGAAGCCGATCTCCTGCAGGATCGTGACAGCAAGATTCAACTCAAATAAGTGATGACTACAGTCATCCGATGTTACGCGCCTATAAAAAACACGGAACAATAGGAGAAGGAATATTCTGTAGACAACTACAAACAGTAGTGGACAACATTCCAAATAGCAACATCAGAATTCCAATCAGCGATATGAATGCTAAACTGGGAGCAAGCAACAGAGGTAAAGAATTCATCGTGGATCGAGAGACTCTTCGTGAGATGAACGGCAATGGAGTACTCTTCTCAGACTTCTGCGCCTCCAGTAATTTGGTGATCAGAGGTAGCGTATACAAGCACATGGATATGCGCAAGGCTGCACGTGGTTTACCTGACGGATTTACCAGATCATTGAATCTAATGTTCTGTTGATATAGTATAGTGAGGCGAAATACAAAATTAACAGTTATTAACACAGCTAAAATTATGTTCACTCTTATGAAAAAAAATAAACAAAACAAAAAATTGAGAGGATTATGAATATAAGAAATACAGTAAAAATAAAGTTTGATGGTGTAAGGGTGTAGGAAATGGTTTATTTAGTAGTGCTAAGAAGGTTAGTTAGTTCATGCCTAACACTATTTTCATCACATAAAGTACGTACCAAATATGGTATATTGAAATTT